CTCTCTCTCTCTCTCTGCAGGCAAACATTCATCTCAAAGCAGATCTGTCACACACAAGCCTTCTCTTCCAGCACCTCAGTACTACTTCTTCTTATTTCCCTCATATTGTTCAGCCATCATCCACCAGCCTTTCCTCCTTCTTCCTTTAAAACTTTCTCAAACTCAAAATCAGATACCAGCATAATGTAAATTATTTGTGGAAACAACATACTCAGCTGGTCATGCATTTAAAACGTGTCCACGGATCACTTAGCCGCTCAGCCCACAGGGTCCCATTTCCTCTTTCTGGGCGTGGGACCAAGCTATTTTTAGGAAAAACAGATCAAGACACACTGCTACTGGACCTCATAAATGCCACAGGCGGCTTACAGGAAGGGGTGCACTTGAATGTGGTTACAAAAGCCCTTGTTTTGTTTTTTTTTGTTCATGATACTGAGTTGTTGTTGGCAGGTTTTATGGGAGATTACAGTGTAAGAGCATAATGAGTTTCAGGTGTGTGTGTGTTTGTGTTCCTGTGCTGAAGTGAAACAGGGAGGTATCAAAAGTCTCCTTAGCTGCTACATGTGAGTACATTCGATGTGATGGGAACCAAGGCGGATACAAAGTAGTATTAGTGCCCGGAGAACGTGCAGACTGTGACAGAAATTTCCAGCAAGTAGTACTTACCGTCATTGTTTTCAAACCCCCCCCCACCCCCGACACACACACACACACACACACACCCCTTACCCCTTGCCCCAGTGCCTCCATGTGTATAAGTACATACTGCAACAGCTCACTCAATCAACATTCAAGGTCCCCTTACAGATCCAAACACACGTAATGCTCTGAACAACACTCAGAGGAATGAGATGTTCAGATGTATGAGTTTCAAGACCCAGTGTGAACACAAACAAACAAACAAACAAACAAACAAACAAACACAGCAGTGAAAGTATTTATAAGAGTACACGTCAGTAACTAAACAAAGGTCTAGTGAGTCTGTGTGAGCAAATGATATGTCACATGGATGTGAATGTTAATAAATGTTAATGATACATTTGCAGGTTAAATAATTCACAGCAGACATTTTGAAAAGCACGATGGCTCTGACATGTTCAAGTAAGCCAGTATGAACAATACCAGCACCCTGAAACTGAAGCAACTAAATGGAATTCAACCGTCATTATTTTTTTTATTTATACTACTGTGACATGTCAAAATGTCTTGTAAAATAGACCTGTTGTGTGTGTTGTACTGCAGCGCCAAATACTCCAAACAGAACAAAGTAATAATTCAACAAACTAAAAGTCCACTATAAAGCTTTTATTGGAGCTTTTGACCACATTTCACTGTCTTCCTCAGTGGAAGTGGACCTTATGTCAAGTTCTGTTGTTGTTGTCAAATTAACATTTAGTAGTGGTAATCATTTAGTGTGTTCAAGTTGTTAGTTTGGTACCAATTCACACCTTTTTCGCAATCAATCAAGAACAATTCACATTTAAAGTGTACGTCCGAGATTTTTTAGGTATTTAAAGACTCATCATTGCAATCTTAACATAATGACTGTCTATTCTCAAGAAACTTCCATCGAAAGTTCCGAGAAAAAAAAACTCTTCAGTTGTTAATTAGCAGCTTGTGTCGGCTTTGTTGTGTATTTTGTGTTACCAGCACAGCTGATAGTAATCATGCAATTAAAGTATGGACTCATTAGGTCCACTGGGGGAATGTTATGTAACATTAAAAGTCTCAGAGGTGGGAAATGAGAGAAGAGCAACTGAACAACACCTCAAAATGCATCCACGGTTATATTACTCGTTTTTCAGAGTTTTCTCCACTTTTGTTGTCAAATCCTTTTATATGCCAATGACTCATTATGGGCTGTTTGATAAAATACTTGATGATTAGTTTATCCTGCATGTTTTAAGTGATCAATCTGCTGACAATAATGCCCAGCAGTGTTTCTACACTGGCATCAGTGTAGATGAGGAGTAACACTGTGGATTAACAGGAGCACAGATGTTACAGCTGACTGCAGCCCTGCTGTGTAGAAATATAATTCAAATGTACGTGCACACACACACACAC